AAAAAAAAAATTAAAAAACAAAAGCCTATAGTCATGCAGCCGTTGACAATTTTTCTTGGTTTTTCAAATGTTGCAGGGTACAAGATAAAGAGAAAATAGTTTTAATACCTCTTTTATTGTGATACATGCCTAATATACAAGTATTTGCATTAAAACAACTTTTATAAGAAGGTAGTTCCATTATTAGAAATACTTCTACATAGCCACAAACATTATTAAGAACATAAATGCATTACGAACTATTAYCGCTGTCTTCGAAAATATCGGTTTGTTGGTAGCGTGCCTGTGTCTTCTTCCAAGTCGCGATCTTGCGTTTATCAGCGTTGGTAAGCGCAACACTAACGGATGTAGCCGCACCGCAACCCAAACCAGTCTTACCCTCATTGGATGCGACATTAATCTRACAAAACAAAGTATATGCATTTAGCAAAATTACTAAAGAAATAAAAAGGCAAGCATACATACCGGTTCCAAGAGTCCTGAGCCATCACTTGCTTTACCCAAAGCCTCACCCTTGTTCCAGCCGAGTTTGGAGAGCATCTTGAAGCCCTTATTGTCGGAAGATATTTCACTAGCGATGATATTTCATTAAAAAWTTTTTAAAACCTTATAAAMAATAACTTTATACTCACGTATTCACGGAGGCGGCTTGCGTTTTCTCGCCATCCGTTGAGCTGCCCACTTGTATGCGTCGCGTTGCGGCACGATCATTGTAGCTACCGACGTTCTGTTTGCCCTCCACAAATTCTAGAAGCAACCAAAATAAATAGAAATAAATGTCTGCAAATATTTTTTCATGTACTCTTCACGCACTCTCTTTCTCCAAGCCATACTTCTTCTGCAGCTTCTTCAGCTGTTCGCGATGCGTTAGCACTATTGTATTGCCTGCCGTGGCGCTGCTTTCACGTGCCGTCTCAATCAATAAGCCCGGCTCACACAAGCCGCAAGTGCTRTTACCCTCGTGCACGTGACACAACAGCTTCGTTTGACCGATCTGCAAGACGCTGCCGTGCACCAAATCATACTCGGTGCTCTCTTGCTTGGAAGCTGACATGCGTGTGCCGTTCAGCACGGTGCCGTTACGTGAGCCCAGATCGGTGCACTTGTAAATACTCTGCTTATGATCGTAGTGGAATCTCATGTGTAGCTGGGGAAATATTCAAGTTGTAAAATATTTAATTATTTTGTTTCGGAAATGCAGCCAACTCACCTTGGACACATTCAAATCCGGTATTATGACGTCGTGGTTGCCTTCGCGACCTAAACTGCCGCCCTTATATGTGATTAAACTCAGACTACCCACCTTGAGAGCCTCCAAATTGCTTTCCTGCACAATGATGCGCAGTGAAGGCGGATACTTTTTGGCTATATCTAAAAGTTGATGAAGTTTCTTTATTATATGAAGAAGTGCTTTCCAAAAAATAATACAAAATATAAAGGCATCTAAGTTGGACTTAAACGCGAATTTCTTTTCATTGCTTAAATTAAACAAACCTTGAAAGCGCCCACCGCTAGCAAAAGTAGCAACTCCCTTGCCCTCCTTCCCCTCTGCATGCCTATCAACATCACCACTGCTACGGCTATCCTCACTATCGCTCTCATTTCCGCTGCTGTCGCTGCTGCTGCTGGACTCAGACAACTCACCGTCCTCAACGTCACACGACTTGCGCCTGCGCGCACGCTTCTTACTCTTCCTATTGCTTGGCTGTTCATCACGTTCATCACTCTCATCAGCAGTGGACGAGGAATCACTCGACGCATGCTTGTGTTTACGTGCGCGTTTACGCTTCTTCGATTTATGTTTGCGCTTCTTAGATTTGGCAAGCTTCTCGCTCTTGGCCGCCTTTATGCTCTTCGATTTKTTCTTTTTACGCCAAATGCGTTCGTCTTTTTGCTCTTGGCGTCGCTCCTCTTTGATTTTACGCAGTCGCTCTTGATCGGTTATGACGCCGCCGAACTCGTCGAACGCCACCAACTCGTCCGCATCGAAATCATCCTGCAACAGTAGAAAAGAAATCCGCGTTTTCATCGACATTTCACGCTACCAAGCTTACCTAATGCATTGCTACGCATTCGGTTAATGTTAAGTTTTGAAAAACGTTTTAAAAGTGAATTATTTACATAATTCGTTAGCACATCTTTATCACTGGCGTTGTTGCGCTGCAAGAGAGGAGAAAATATACCATACGCATACAAAAAAAATTATTAACGCTTAAGTAAAAGATGTATTTTGTTTTTGTAAAATTATTTATTTCTAGCACATTTCTAGCGAGCAGTTAACCTTGAAGTAGTCGGTAAATTTCCAGAATACTGAACTAGTTGGAGAAAGAAGGTTAGCAACTAAAATATTCAGACTGAAATAAACTGGACGAATAACGGCCAGCTCCCTATGTAAAATCTGGTTGGAAAAAACTAATTCACAACTAAAAATTCCTGACAAACAGAAACTTAGATTGGTAAATGAGGAATGTACCGCGACCTAATGTGCCCTCTCCCAAATCAGAAAGACCCACCTAGCCGCAGGAAACTCAGATAAAGTCGAAGCGAAGCGATTTGATTCCTATTTGGAAGCATGGATCCAAGGGCCTTCAACCCGCGTCTGTAGATTTGTCCCTAGCGATGTTGATTACATATTTAAACCTGTTGAGGTTATATTATGGTATGGGGACCCACCGCGATGAAGGTTTCAGATCGCTGCCGGGAGCGGGAGAGCTCAGCAGCCAGTTCGTTCTCGACTATGACCGGGCACCGAAATGAGGTGTACTTGGTTAGGTTCCGCTAGGCTATTCAGCCGCCCTCTACACACCTGCTCCAGTAGGGATTTGATCTAATTTTGATCCGATTACTTGGTGAAGCCCCTGGTTTTGAATATGACTTTAAGTGCAGCCAGTCGGACAAGTGTGCATTGAGGCCCAAGCCATCGCTCTATATGTAATTATTGGTCGCGCGATCATGATGTACAACCAGTTAACGATGCTTGGTATGCAGCCGCAGGGTTTACCAGCTAGTCGATTGCACACCACTAGTGTCTTAGTTACTTTGCCCACGGTCAGGTCAATATGCTGCTTTCACCGCAGAGTGGAATCCAGTGTGAGATCAAGATATCTGTCCTGTTGATCATCTCTACCTCTCTGCTCCAAGGGTAAGGTTTGTGAGGCCGGGCAGGCATCTACGTCTCGAGAACGGAACGATGGTCGTCTGAGAGTGGTTGATATTCCACTTAACCTCTCTGCACCATCCTTTAGCCAGGCCCTGGAGTTCTGGGTGTAATAACAATATCTTCCGCGTAAACTTGACAGCGGATCCCATTGACAGTTAGCATAACTAGTAACTCGTGCATACGACCAGGCTTCATTACAGGGGGGGATAGTACTCTACTGTGTCGGCAATCTCTTTTAGTACCGAAAATAATCCTAGCGCATCGGTGCTGCTACATTCCTGCACTGCTCTAGCTACGTTTTCGTAAAACGTGTTGTCAGAGGCACCTTCGAGGTCTAGGAAGGCGCACACCATCACTTCCCCTCCTTCCAGCGAACTCTGTAGTAGTATTTGCTTAATCTGCCTGCTCTGTAAGCATGCTGGTTCACAAGCCTGTCTCTTATACACATCTCCTGCTCTGTAAGCATGCTGGTTCACAAGCAGCGGTGCAATTTTCAGTTCCTTCGACTTAATTTCATGAGCCATGATCTGTTCCATACTTTTTAATAAAAAGGAAGTTAGACTAATTACCCTGAAGCATTTCATACCTTGGGTGTAAAGATCACCTACGCGATCATCCATACATCTTTACGAAATATATATACAAAGGGTCTCCCACATTTTCTTCTGCGTGTTACAAACTTCGATACACACTTAATATATCTTGGAAAGGGCATAAAAGGAATTACAAAAACCTGGAGTCATAATACCAAGTTTTCCTATATTTTCTTTATATTATTATTATTTTTTTATGTTATTGGAATGAGTAGCCTACAAAAAACTTTATATAGCAGTTCCTAAATTAGGAGTGCGCCTAAAAGTATGCAACACATATCGAACGTGCGAGCATTACATTAAAAGAGGATACCAAAAATCCATTAATTACTCACAGATTGGTTACTAACTTAAGTACTGCTACTAATTACCAAAGATTTCGAATCACGTGCCTATAAAAATTTCAACGGAATCAAAGTAAACTTAACTCTACGCTTTTTAACTGCCCGCCAACCAGACTATATAAAGCTTCAAAATATGCYACGAACTTACCTCTGCAGCTTTCTGAATTTGCTGTGCTTGAACTTGCGAATGAAACTCAAAAACATTTTTCTCTTGATTGTAGTTGTAATAACAGCCGTTATTGCCATCGTAATAGAGACCATATTCCTAGTGGAATAATAAAAAAAGTATTTATTATATATAAAATACAAGTGTTATTAATTAAGCTTCTTCTTCTTTATTGCCGTAAGCAATGCTTACGCATTTATAGCCGAAATGTACTAAACTTACCGCATTATAATAGTAGCCGGTCTTCTGATCATAGTACAGACCGGATGTGGGCTCATAGACGAAACCATTCAAATTTTGCGCCTGTTCGGCGGCACGACGAATATCATCCACAAAATTGTCTACGGTAATAGCAGCTGCATTATCTACGGCAAAAGTAAATACAGAAATTCCATATATAAAAGCAGTAAATTATTTAAAAAAGAAAGAAGTCAAAAAGAATTTGCCATGTCGCGAGTAAAGTCGAAAGCAAGACATGCAACTGCTCACATCTACACCTTGCACTATCTTTATTGGCACTAATGTAAACTAGATATTTACAAAATTACATATAAATGATCAAAGTGTGACGTTGCTTGTACAAAATGAAAAAATAAAACTAATTAATTAAAAACARAATAAATAAATATAAAATGTTGCGAGCCCACTTGACTCGTCTTAGTAAAATGCAGCCTATAATAACTTGGGGATAAAATTTTAGTTCTACTGTTTTGCCACTGCACTTTACTGTTATATTTACAAACAAATAGTAAAAAAAAAAATGGCAGCGAAGACGACAATACCGGGGATTACTGCGACATGCGATGTATTTGCTTTGGCGCTCCTTATCAGTGCTAGTTCGCTTAATAGTTTCTAGTTTTTGTGGAAACCAAGTTCTTGGTTGATTTATTGACAATATAGGATGCTTTCTTATATTACTACATGTAATTTTTCTAATCAAATTTTCAGATAATTAATTGTATGGTGTGAGAGGGCAAGTACATCCACACATACATACATGCATATGGTTGTTCGCATGTGCACAAAAGGCGTTTGTGTGCGTGTATGTGTGTCTACATGTAATTTTACACCAAAACTAAACATTTCTAATGCGGCGAGAAATTGCGCGCACATTTGTTTATTTGTAGAAATTATATATGAASTTGTACAATGGGTGATTTGCGGACGAAAATGCTGTTGCGCAGTTTTCGAAAACTAATTAACTGATATATTTGTAAATAATAGTTTTCGAACTCTAATTAACTGGCATTGCTAGCATTACTAAGCTAACGGTAATTGATACTAAGCATAAATTGGAACTGTCAGTTGGAATTGTTTGAGATTTCTTTGCAAGATTCTTGGAGGATGGAGTCATGTGTAGAAGTT